TCAGASAGCTCCCACGCAAAGACTTGAAGCAAGAGATGGGTCATTTGCTGAGATCTGGGTCAGGAGAATGATGTGCTGATAGTCAGAAACCTTCTGAAATACTGACCAAGGAGCCATTAAGGAGAGAGGGGTGTTGCCTGAGGGTGGGGGATGGAAGAGGGTTCACTAGCAGCCCTCAGCAGTTTGGTTGAAGGCTTGATTCACATACGATCACAAGAATAACAAACAATCAATAATGCTATTTAATTAAATGCCATTTAATCAATGATATCACAATTCAAAGGCTTATCAAATGTCAAGCACACACTAAGTATTTTTGTATACCTGATCACCTATCATCCTCACAACTTATCCAGAAAAGGGTTATTATCACTTTACAATTAAAACATCTGCAGCTCCGAGAGCTTAAGGAATTTGAGCAAGGCCATGGAGCAAGAAGAAGAGTTCTGTCTTAACAGTGCAATGTACCTTGGTTTCAGAGCCCTGATTATTTGAGTTATCACTATTCATTATTATATTGCTATTCATTATTCATTATATCATCGTTATTCATTCTCCATAAGAAATGAGCATCCAGCAGGGCTTTARAATGGTTATGTATTTACTTCCCTAGGGAGAACAATAAATCTTGTGTTTACACACAAGCCGATCATACAGCTGGGGAATCACTGAAGTGAAGGTTCTCTAGGAGGGAGGGAGTTAAAAAGCAAACCTAAGTGCTTAAATCTTAACTCCACAAGGAAAAAACAAAATTACATGTTCATTTCCTTAAATTGGTAATTTCGCCGKAAGGATAACTGCCACTTATTGTTTGCAGGTACAAACAACGATTGATTACCTTCTCTGACAGCTTAAGGGATTCCAAATTCAGGGAACACTGCTTGTGCCACGCCCCGTTCTCSGTCTAGGACCCGGAATGAAGCGCTACGCCGGGCATTCAGTGATTTTTAGCCTCTTTTTTCTCCAAAGATTGTTTTGAGCTGCAAAATACTGATTGTACACGAATGCTCTYGCAAGATGTCCTCGACCTTGCTTGGACACAACCCAAGTCAACTCTCTCAACCAGAACCACCCAACCTCCTTCCACGCCTGGGAATCGCGGCYGAGCGCCGAAACCAGGAGCGGACGGTCACAGAACTGCAGGGAGGGCGTGGACATGGCCCGAAGCCAACATGGCGGCCACGACGTCGCTTGCCCTRAGCCTAGGTCAGCGGTCAACTACGGTGGCCGGTGCGGACCTTATGCCATAATAATGGATTTGAGTTTGGTTTATGACAGGGCGAGGAGAGATCCAGTGGGAAGGCGGAAGGTGACCACAAGAGGAGGGCTCCCCTAGCTGGCCAGAGTTGAATAAAAATGAACAATGCCATTCATTCAAYATGGAGCATTTGCGAACTTCTGCCTGTTGCAGCTGTGCTATAAGGAAACTTCTGATTCTGGCAGTAGATTGCACTGAATGAGACTGATAGTTCCTAAATCCTTACCGACAGCAAGGCTCTGTGCTGAGTTCTCTGGAAAGACGGTAGCCAGCCATGTTACCTGCAATCCAGTGGAAGCSCATAAGGGCCACCTAGCAGACACAAGAAGTACAGTCATTCCTTCATATCTGAGGTGAATTCGTTTGAGGATCCCAGTGGATAATAAAATCCACGAATGCTCCAGTCCCTTAAATAAAATGGTGTACTATTTGCGTATAACCTATGTACCTCGTCCCATATACTTTGGCATCTCTAGATTACTTGTATTTACCTAATGCAATTTAAATGCCACGCAAAAAGTGTTTTTTTTTTTTTTTTTTTTTTTTTTTTTTTTACCGTATGCTTATGGAATAATGATAAGGGGGAAATCAAGTGTTAATTAAAAAAAAAATCCCTCCATAATCGGTTGAATCAGACAGATGCACACTGGGTCCATATCTTCTCCAAATATCTCCCTCCCTTGCACCAACAGTCCAGTCAGAAATGTTCTGGTGACAGTAGAAGCAAGAAAACAAGATCAACAAAACAAGCCMGTTTAAAACCCTTGCTTTGGGTCATATTAAGTAATATCCACATGACTAAAATCAACATAAATGGAGTATGGAAGTATATTCTTTTTATGTAGAAAAGGAAAATATATGWGAATATTTTAACCGATAAGTATTTTAACACAGAGAACATGATTATACTATTGAATGCCATAGATATGAGCTGTCACACTTCTTCACTGAAAATATGTCCCCTGGTTAGAGGAGACATTGGGTACCTTGGAGATGGATATAAAATTCTTTAAGTCCACGGATGTTGGTGCTGTGGCTACACTTGAAGGCACATCACTGTCTCCTCCAGTGTCCTAATTTACCTGCCTTCAAGTAATGAGGAATAATCCATGAGGTTGGCCTAAATTCATGAAGGGTACTTCAGATGACAGTCTCTTGGTGCCTCCTGGCAAGACTTGTGACCTTCAGGTGAGGATGCAGCCAGTCTGCCATGAGGGAGCTGGGGGATAAGTACTCCAATATTGGTCCCCTCCATCTGTGCTCTAGTATTTTTCCTATTGATGGTACCAAGCCAGGAACCACAGAGTAAGGGAAACTTKGATGTAGTCCTCACAAGCTACCTCTAGAGGATCAGAGCAGAATAGAGAGGGGAAATTCATTGGCTGGGTTGTAGCAGGCAGCTCCTTTGTATTCACCTGTGTTATACCAGRGTTGTGTCCAGTACAATATGGCAGAAAAATCAAAACATCGCTTGATGAATTAGATTATAAAAGACAGTGCAGCTTCAGTTTTGGTCACTGTGGTAGGCAGCTTTCTAAGAGGGGACCCATGATTCCTACTYCCTAGTATTCATGTCCTGGGATAATATTGTCCCTCTGAGTGTCAATTGGACTAAGATTCAATTCTTTTTTTTCTTTCTTCACCTTTATTTTAATTAGGTATATATRASAMMACAGGATGCATTTTGATTCATTGTATACAATTGCAGCACAACTTTYCATTTCAGTGGTTGTACACGATGTATCGTCACACCATATCTGCAGTCATACATGTACCTAAGGTAGATGTCCATCTCATTCTACCATCTTTCCTGCCCTCATGCACCCTCCCCATCCTCCCTCCCCTTTGCCTAATCACAGTTGCTCCATTTTCCCCATGCCCCCCCCCCATTATGGATTACCTCCACTTATCAGAGAGAACATTTGGCCTTTGTTTTTTGGGGATTGGCTTACTTCACTTACCATAATAGTCTCCAACTCCATCCATTTACCTGAAAGTGCCATAATTTTATTCTCTTTTAATGCTGAGTAATATTCCATTGTGTATATATATCACAGTTTCTTTATGCATTCATTTATTGAGGGGCATCTAGGTTGCTTCACAACCTAGATAGCATCTCAATTCACAATAGTTTAACTATTGTGAATTGAGCTGCTATAAACATTGATGTGGCTACATTACTAGAGTATGATGATTTTAAATCCTTTGGGTATAGACCAAGGAGTGGGATAGCTGGATCTGATGGTGGTTCTATTCCAAGTTTTCTAAGGATCTCCATACTGCTTTCCAGATTGGTTGCACCAATTTGCAGTCYCACCAACAATGTATGAATGTGCCTTTTCCCTCACATGAATCAATTTATGGCAAAAGTGATGGGATGTCACTTCTGAGATTAGGCTACAAAAGACTGACTTCCTTCTTGCTTGCTCACTCTGAGGAAGCAAACCCTATGAAGAGACCCATGTGACAAGGAGCTAAAGGGGACCTCTGGCCAACACCCATTCAGGCTAATGTGGAAAAGAGTCTCCACCACAATCTTTTTTTTAAGAGAGAAGAGAGAATTTTAATATTTATTTTTAAGTTTTTGGCGGACACAACATCGTTGTTTGTATGTGGTGCTGAGGATCGAACCGGGAGTCGCACTCATGCCAGGTGAGCACGCTACCGCTTGAGCCACATCCCCAGCCCTCCACCACAATCTTAAATTAAGCTAACTGAAGCCCCAGCTGGCACTGTTACAGGACAGAAAACAGTATGATTAATGAGAGCTTCTGAAAACAGAACCCCCAGCTAACCTGCTTCCAAATTCCTGAACATTAGAAACTGAGTGAGTTAATACCTTTATTGGAGGCTGCTAAGATTTGGGGTAATTTGCTTTAGATAACATACATTCCTGAAAGAAAGTGAACGTTCATGAACTATCTCTACCAAAAGAAGACAAATATTTTTTAAAAGTATTTGGTTCATATTTTTGATAGGCCCTGAACCTACTATATATGGAACCATTTTTAGAGTTCTTTTCAAACAAAAAWTTTTTTCCTTTGTCTCAAGGGTGAACTCCAGAATTCCACTAAGTTGAGAATAATGATAGCTACCCTTTATTTAGTTCCTATTGCATTCTGGTTGATGAACTTGTATTATGGTTTACAAACAGGGAACCTGAAGCTCAGACAGGTTGGTACTCTATCTTAAGACCCCTAGTAAAAGGAAGAACGAGGTATGTATTCTGAAGCCCTATGTCTTCCCACTACATTATTATGGACTCCTTAATAGTGATCCTTATAACTTTAAATGAAAATACACCATAGTTCTTGTCTTAATTGCAGAGGTTCATTCAATCTTTGAAATTAAAAAGTTAAAGTAGATTTCGSGTGAGAGAGAGGACAATTTTTCTTGATCTCCACTAAGAAGGGGCCAGGATTCTGAATGGACCCAGGACCCGCTCACCCTCCCCTGATTTACTGACAAGAATTCAGCCAGCATTCCAGCATCTAGGGCTCTGAACAAAATCTTTGTTCTGGTTTCCAATAGAGCCCGGCGTAGCTAAGCTAGGCGAAGAAGTGAACCACCGCACCGAATTGAAACCACGGCTGGTTCTCAGGGAGGCAGGGGAGGGGCTGGGCAGCTCTGGAACCGGAAGTTATCTCTGCCCTGACAAAAGATGGCGGCCGTGGCGCCTCTCGCCCACCTGCCGTAGCCAATGGAACCCCGACGCTCGACTGACTCACACCTGCGACCTGCGGCACTACGTTGCATGATGCAACCCTGGAGCCAAGGAAGCCTTTCGCGCACGTTGGGGTGACTGGGCGGTGGCGGTGTTGGGACCATGTCCTTGGAAGTGACCAGGGCGACTGCAGGGATGGTGCTAGGTGAGTGAGGGGCGGTGTGTGGCGCCAGGCTCCCTGTTTGGCGAGGAATGCCAGGGCTGACTTTAGTGCCTGGCGCAGGGTGGCCGCTCCTCAAATAATTGCGGAACGACTGGAGGGAAGGAGGGAGGGAGGATGGGGCCTGCACCCTCSCTGGACCGGGACGCGTTGGGCCAGACCGCGCACCCCCGGGCCCTGTGTGCCCCGGGGYTGCCGTGGCGGCGGCGGCCGGTGCTGCAGCGCCACGAAAATCCCGAGATTCCAGTGAGACCTCGGTGCTGTGAGAGGCTCAGACATAATGAGGTTCCCAGATAGAAATTTTTCCAAGGGGATCTTCAGGAAAGGAGTAAGAATTTTAATTCCCTTCCCAATAGCCCCATGAACTGAGATTTCTAATAAGAAAAAGGGGAGGGGTGATCTGGGATGTCGCTAATGTCTCAAGGAGGCTTCTACCTTATGCATTTTGTATAACTTCGGAGTTTCCATTTCTTTGAAAGACCATAGTGGACTGCTGAGCTTTTTGATTTTTCCYCCATYTGCATATCAATACTGGGATGTTTATTTCGCCCTCAGTACAGCCCCAGGGAGATAGATGTCGTTTTTTTTTTTTCTCATTTTATAAAGATAGAAGTTGAGAAAGGTTAAGTAMATTCCCCAGAGTAACTCTGGCTTTTAAGGTACAATGTCCAAGATCCAGTCTAAGTTTGGCCAACTTCAAAGCCTTTGCTTTATTACTCAGGTAAATGGAAGTAGTATCACAAGTTAAAATGACCCAAAGTTTCATTTTGAAAAGGTAAATTTGTAACACGTTTTTAGGAGGCAAATATCCTTGAAATAGGGTGTTGGAGAATAATTGTGATATTAATTTCTTTCTGACTGTTAAGTTCTGCCAGTCATGTGCTTGTTCTGTTTAAAGAATTGAAAAATGAATGAAGTAGTTACATAGTCAAGTGGCAAGGTTATTGGCCAAGCAAATAACTTACTCTCCTTTTATAAAACAGCAGAGCTGTATGTCTCAGATCGAGAGGGAAATGATGCCACGGGAGATGGAACCAAAGAGAAGCCATTTAAAACAGGCCTAAAGGTAGAGTCTCTTCTCATTAGGAAAATAACTCTTCATTTGTTAGTGGCTTRTATAAATGATTATGTGACTTGCCAAGAATTTACWTCAAGCTCTAGGTTGTTTTGTRAGATAGAGTTTGTAAKTYATCTTCATTGCTRTAACCAAAATACCTAACAAACAATTTCAAGGAGGAAAGATTTATTTTTGGCTCACTGTTTCTCAAAGACTTTTTATTTTTAGCTTTTTAATTTTTTTGCAGTGATGGGATCCAACCCAAGGGCTCACACTTGCCAGACAAGCACCTTACCACTGAGCCACATCCCCAGCACTTGTAGAAGTTTAGTTCATGGTCAGTTGACTTCATTGCTTTGAGACTGATATGAGGCAGAACATCATTGAGGAAAGCACAGGAAAGCCACTTAGCTTATGGCAGCCAGAAAACAGGGAGAGGAAGGGTCCATGAACAAGATTAGTCCCCAAGAGCCCACTCTAAGGACCCATTTTATCAAATAAGSTTCCACCTCCTACATTTTCCACAACTTCCCGATAGTCCATTCAAATTATGAATCCATCAGTGGATTAATCCAGTGATGAAGTCAGAACTCTCTTGTCCAGTCAYGTTCTGAAAGCTCCACCTCTGAAAATCGCTGCATAGGGGACCAAGCCTTCGACACACGAACCTTTGGGACATTCCAGTTCTAAATCATAACAGGGTCTCCCTATGTTGCCCAGCCTGGCCCTGGGACCAAGATGACCTGCTTCAGCCTCCCAAGTTTCTGAGACTGTAGGTACATGCCACTATGTYTCACTAAAGCATCAGGTTTTGAAGGGATTTTTTTCAAAAGAGGGAAAATATGGTAGAACGTATACAGATACGTGTCTTTAAAAGTGTTAGATAATCAAGGCCAGGTATGGTGGCACATGCCTGTAATCCCAGCTACTCAGGATACTGAGGCAGGAAGATGGCAAGTTCAAGGCTAGCCTTGTCAATTTAGTAAGACCCTATCTTAAAAAATACGAAGGGCTGGTGGTATAGATCAGTGCTAAACACCCCCTGGGTTCAGTCCCTGGCACTGCAAAACAAAAGTGTTATATGATCAAAGCCTAAATTCTTTTTTTTTTAATATTTATTTTTTAGTTATAGGTGGACACAATATCTATCTTATATTTATGTGGTGCTGAGAATCGAACCCAGTGCCTCACACATGTTAGGCGAGTGCTCTACCTCTGAGCCACAACCCCAGACCCAAAGCCTAAATTCTTTTGAACATTTAAAATAAGTTTCTTCTTTTCTTTTTTTTAACCACAAGGCATTGCATGTTGGAAGTTTTCTCTCTAACAACTCAGGTTGCCAGTTTTTCTAAGAATGAGAAACACCTTTCCTCAGTCACACTGAGCTCATATCCGRATGGCTTTTTGGTGAATTTTCCACAGTCCTGACTATTATCTGGAGCCTTGAGACTCAAAGCCCTGATTTATATAAACACACCAAGARTGGACTTATTTCTCAGAGCAGCTTTGTAGATCTGAAGTTTGAAAATGGATTACCAGTTTATTGACCTTCTGTTAGATTCTAGGTCTAGAATATTCCCATGCATTTGGCACATTCTCTCTAAGCAAATTTTTTGGAAAGCCAAATAGTGTCAAAGTGGTTCTTCAAGAGCTAGGACTCACGGTATGCATATTAGGTAACTAATAGCATCAGGTTAAGGTATGATCCGAAACATCCCTCTTAGATCATCATGTACATGTCTGTTCAGTGGATAGCTAGGATCTGTCACCTACAACTGCCACATAATGGAAATGGTTAAACACTTCCCCCTTGGGCAAGCACTGTACATTCATACTTGGCCAATTTCCCCTTTTTGTTAACTGTATTATGTTTAGTTGTTATCAGATTCTCCTAGCTTGGAAGCATTCTCTGTTAGACCATTTGGTAATGCTTTAGTGTGTCACATATGGGTCTTGCTTTTTAATTCTTAGAAATCTTTCTTTCCTTTCTGGGTTATTGGGGTGTTTCCTGGTGGTTTCCCCAAACTGAAAACACTTGTTTAGGTAAACCTCATGACACCATTAGCAAATTGTGCCATTCTGATTTGGGGAATAACAATTTGGCCCTTTAATTTTCACTGATATAAAAAGAGGGAACAGTACAGATTATCTGGTTGTGAGTRAAGTCTGGATGATCCACAAATGCAGTCTTTAACCACTGGGATAGAGTGTGCTTAACACACTAAGATAGTCATGATGACACTTGGCAGCATGATCTTTTGGGACCACAGTTGGAGGATGGCTCATTATTGACTAGAACATCATTATGTAGCACATGACTATATTCCTGTTAACTTCTGTTAAAAAGATGGACTTTCATCTATGTTTTCAAAAGATCCAAGTTCCTTTCTACTCTGCAGCAGTCATTGTTTTGGGACTAATGTCCATTTAGAAAAGGTCAGTTTTTTAAGTTTCAGATCTTGCCATCAGGGAATAATTCATTGTATTTCCTGTTTGACTTATTGAGAAATTTTGAAAGAATAAATGAARCAGTTTGTAAAATATTCATTTTTATATTCAGTTAACTATTTTTTAAAAACTATCACATAAAATGATGTATAATAAACSAGTCTACATGCAGGAATTTTTTAGCCATTTGTGAACTTCGTCATTATGTTGTTATTTTATTGAAAGAAYTTTTAAAATCTCTTACCTGATTCTCTGATTTCTTGCAGAGCACTAACCTTGTAGGTGTCATCTGCAGTTGGTTTTGCTCTTGGCTGTCTTTTCTTTTTTTTTTTTTTAATTTTAATTTTAATTTTTTTTTTAGTCATACATGACAGCCGAATGTATTTTGACATATAAAACATACATGGAATGTACATACATGAATCATATTGTCTATTCTATTCTGCTGCCCTTCCTATCTTCCCTACTCCTCCCCTACTTTCCCATCATTTCTCTCTATCCAATCTAATGTGACACACTTTTTTTTTCTTTTTCTCATTACAACATCATATATGTATTTTGTATAACAGTGAGGTTCTTCCATCTTCTGTGCAACTCCCCTTCTCCCTCTTTTTCCCTCCCACCTCTCTTCCCTATTTACTGGTAGTCTTCTTCTCATGCTCTTCCTCCCTATCCCATTTTGAGTCACCCCCCCTTATATCAGAGAAGACATTTGTTTTTTAGGGATTGGCTAACTTCACTTAGCATAATCTGCTTTAATGCCATCCATTTCCCTGCAAATGTCTTGGCTGTCTTTTCTCTTGTCAGCATACCTGTGTTGGTCCCTATAGCCACTGCAGATCTTCTGTTTGTACCGAGGAGCTGTGTGCTGCCAACTGAGCTTGCTGGGATTGTTTGTGGAAGGACTTAATGGCTTCTACTAGAGCAAAGTGCTTCTTAGTGCATTCAGCTAGTTGCTGTTATGTCAGCTTTCAGCTCTTGGGGTCTTTGTGCTGTCTTGGCTCTTGAATATGTTATAGATTGTTAAAGTTGTCTCATAATTGAGGGGTTATTTTAAATATTGTGCAATGTTAAAGAAATTCATTTTTTTCTCTTTCTCTATCTCAGGCTTTGATGACAGTAGGAAAAGAACCATTTCCTACCATTTATGTAGATTCACAAAAAGAAAATGAGGTAGGATGAATCAAAAACTTTAGTTATATTTTGTGAATAAGTTTTCATCAAGACATAGAGGTCTTGAAAAAAATTACGTATCTCTTTTTCTTTCTAGAGGTGGGACATTATTTCTAAATCACAGATGAAGAACATTAGGAAAATGTGGCATAGGGAACAAATGAAGAGTGAATCCCGAGAGAAGAAAGAGGTGATTAATTTATTTGCCGCTGTGTGCATTATATTTATTTTTTATTGTATTTGGAGATAGGATCTTTATATTTTATTTTCTTATCATTGCATTACAATTATGGATAATAGGTTGATTATGGCATATTCATACAGGCACATAACAATCTGATCATTCTMCTTCCCCAGTGCCTTSCCTTTCCTCCCCTTCTTCCTCCCCAGTCAGCTTGCTGTACTMCACTGATCTCCCTTCCRTTATCACTGTGTACATTTTTAAAGCAAACATTCTGGAAACCATTTTAACYAGTTGCTTTATTTTTAAAATTAGGCAGAAGATAATTTGCGAAGAGAAAAGAACCTCGAAGAAGCAAAGAAGATTACCATTAAAAATGATCCAAGTCTGCCAGAGCCACAGTGTGTAAGTGTGTATGTCATTTCCAGTGTCATGGACTTAGCAACTTTATATCATTATTTCTGGGTTTGAGGGGCATGACACATTTGTTCCTTCACATTGTTTGTCTTTTCTTTTAGAAAGGATGGGGAGAATGTTTAGAATTATAAGACAGGGGTTCATTTTAATATAGAGTTTAGTAATTACATGTTGAACAAATTCTGTGCTGTGTGGTATTGGTCAAATGATTTTACCTTCTCTAGTATCAGTTTCTTCACCATCAAATGTAGAGGTGGATTTTCTTTTTTTAAAATATACTGCATCCAGGCCCTCTCACATGCTAGGAAAAGCACTGTATCACTGAGGTTCATCCTCAACCTGAAAATCCATGAATTTTTAAACAGATAAAAAGTATTTGTGGGGGCTGGGCTGGGGCTCAGTGGTAGCACACTTGCCTGACATGTATGAGGYAYTGGGTTCAATTCTCAGCACCATATAAAAATAAATAAATAACATAAAAAGGTCTGTCAACAACTTWAAAAAAAAGTGTTTGTGATTCTGTGAAATTGTGTTCACTCTTCTGGTTCCCCTAGTCTTTCTGGAACCCAGATTATTGGATTATGAATGGACATGCTGAATTCTACTTCCTAACCGATGGAATTGTTTCTTTTACCATATTAACCATTTTAATCCTTTACTCATTTCTCTCCTTCATCTTTCAAACAAAAAGCCTTGGTTAGCTTCAAGTCCCAGCACCGGAAAAGGCACTGGTAGGCTAGGATTGTTGCAATACTGGGAATCAGGTGCTCCACTTAGGAAAAAGTGAATTCATTTATTACCTGATTTTCTGTAGCAATGAAATCTTTTTGTGTGTCTTTATTTTCATATTTGCCCTAAAGTGTTAAAACAGTCACAAATAATGCAAAATTAGAGCGAGTCACGYTACTACAGTTTGAACCCAAATTTTTCACCATGTTGGGATGGTGAAAGAAAAAAATCCAAGTATTTTTTTAGTGTCCACTTAGTATTAGTGGAAATGTTGGTATGTGATAAATGACATGATCAAATATTATTTATTTTCATTTGCAGGTGAAGATTCATGCATTAGAAGGATATAGAGGCCAGAGAGTGAAGGTTTTTGGCTGGGTCCATAGGCTGCGTAGGCAAGGTAAATGATATMACTTTTCTTTTTCTCTTTTTAATTTTAAATAATACCTGATCTCAGATGAAGAACATAAAAATATTTASTTGGGTTTGTTTAGAGATCTTTTTCTTTTTCCTGGTGTGATGACTTTTTAAAAGATGTAGTAATTTATAGCCTACATTTTTCCGAATTACTGCTGCCATTGAAAGTTTAAATATTACTTAAATGTTATTTTAACTGTTAGCAACCATAGTGATCAGGAGGTAGCCAGTAAATTCTTGTTCAATTGAACTTTGATTATTTAATGAAAAACAGGAGATATGTTATAGGAAAGTCAGATCCTATTCTGAAATTTGGCAGTAGGTTTACTTTTATAATTAGTATCTTTGCATTCTGTTTCTCCTTTCGTCCTGATGTTTTGTTTTCTCTTTCTGTTATTTTATAACTTGTATTTTTTACTATCATGATCAAACCTTTCATAAAAATAAATTGGGCATGAATTTAAATTTCTCTTAAGTAACATGCACTTCCCACTGGGTACACAGGGTGAATAAGTCATAATTCCTTAGCTCATTTCCTACCATCTTGTTATTCCATGGTGATGTGGATAATGATAATCACATAATATTTAAAGGTATAGTGCAGTGAAAATAAAATACTTTATAAATAAAGGGGTATGTTACTGGTGTGTATTTCAAAGGAAATGGGCTATATGGAAGGATTGAACKTCTAGTACTTAATCTTGATGTTTCTAAGATGTAAGATCAAATTATGAAARAGTACTTTCTAGTCTCTAATCTGGCTAAATTTCTGTATTTCATTTTAGGAAAGAATTTAATGTTCCTGGTGTTGCGGGATGGTACRGGTTATCTTCAGTGTGTCTTGTCGGATGAGTTGGTACATTTTTTTTTTTTTTTAATTAATGACGGAAAATTAGATTTTTTTCTAGGAGGTTCCTTTATTGTTATTTTTGGGGATTTTAGGATCTATGTACATATTTTAAACTATTATTTTCACAATGGATACATTTGTCAAAACATCACATACATCATTAAAAGAAAAAAATTATTTGTTAATTGTAATTTAATAAGCTGGGGGGTGAATTTTGTAATGTAAAATTACCAACACGTTAAAAAAAAAAATAGAACAACCTAAGTAACCCCATCACCAGCTTTAGTAACTACCAAAAACTGGTAGATAATCCTGGTATGATATTGCTCCCTCAGACTTTATATTATTTTATTCATATATGCCTCTGTAATCATGTCTAAGAAAAAAAATACTATTTTTAGGTAGTTACCATTATCATCTCCCCCTAAATTACCACAACTTCTAAATATTATCCAATATCCTATCAGATTCTCCCAATCGATTTAATAATGACATTAAAGTTGGTTGATTTCAGAATCCAAACAAGATCTCCATCTTATATCTGGTTGATATGACTCTAAAAAATCTCTCTTTTATCTATAACAGTGCCCTCATTTTCATTCTCCTCTTTTCTGCCCCAATTTATTTGTTGGGAAAAACATGACAAATTGTTCCTTAGAACTTCTCACATTTTGGATTTGGTTGATTGCATCCTGTGGTATCATTTAATATATCCTTTTGTTTTTTGTATATTTTATGGGGGGAGGTCTGATTAAGTTAAAAAGTGCCCAGCCTGACCTTGAACTTGCAGTCCCCTTGCCTCAGTTTCCTGGGATCATAGGCATGACCTACCATGCCTGCTTTCCCCATCACTTTGCTCCTAATAACTCTAGCAAGTATTGATCATCATAGTATATATGGTGTTTTTTTGTGGATTTTTTTTTTTTTTAATTTAAAGATAGGGTCTCACTAAATTGCTGAAGCTGGCTTTGAATTTGCAATCCTCCTGCCTCAGGGCACCCACCACCCCCTGCAAGTTCCTAGAATTACAGGCATGTGCTACTGTGCCCAGCTTGCTTTTGTGTGTTTATTTTTTGCAGGGATACTCTACCACAGAGCTACATTCCCAACCAACTTTTTTTTTTTTTTTTTTTTTTTTTTTGGTACCAGGGATTGAACTCAGAGGCACTCACATCCTCAGCCGTATTTTATATTTTATTTAGAGACAAGGTCTCACTGAGTTGCTTAGCACCTTGCTTTTACTGAGGCTGGCTTTGAACTCTCGATCTTCCTGTCTCAGCCTCCCAAGCCGCTGG